CACATCCATTGCAAGACATTCTTCTGCTACATTCAAAGTCTGGTTGTAAAATGCAGCTCTTAATACACCTAGGTTTTCATGCTATATCTCATCTGGTGTATTTATTACCTGTTGCTGAAAGAAACAATACCACTCTCCCCACCTACTTCCCAGGCGCTTATTCCTTCTTTGTCCCTTATGTTACAACTAATAATTTCTCAGCCATCAGACAAGCCAGGCCAGTGTATTTTTCTGACGTAGTTTTTCTTCCCAGGCAGTCAGCTTTTTTATTGAATCAGCTGCTTATCTTAAACTTGCCTTGGGACTGGGGGCTAATGTAAGAGAAGCGAGTAAGTCAAAGCAGTACTATCCCTTTTGGCATCATCCTCAGTTGCACCAGACCAAACGCATATTAAGCCCTTCTCTGAATAGTATTACTAGTTTTCTTCTTGCAGAATGAATATTGAAGTGCCTTCAAGATTTCCATCAAACAGTGAGTCCCTGGGAGTTAACATCACAACATGAGAGAAACAATGCAAGTAAAAATAGTCATACTATAGCAACAGAAGGACTCCACAAGCACCAAAGCACAGTGAGCTGAACTGAGGAGCAGTATCTGGACAAAAGCCTTGCAATTTAAACAGACAAAAAGAGTGAGAAATTAATTAACTATCCTAGTATCTTAGCAGATTAATAACAGAGGCAGAAATCAAATATAAGAGTCTGGACAGGCAGCTCTATCCATTAAACCACTCCTTCCTGTGGCTGCAGATGCTGTGTACTTTCTGTTTGTGGCATGGCATCACCATGTCAAGAACTGCACTCGGTTCCAGAAATAACAAAATTAAAATTAGCCATTGTATTTGTTGCTCCATAAGCAAATTAACAGCTCAGTGTGGTTTACAGCATCTGAAAGTTCCCAGTGCCTTCCCAAGCAAAGAACTCTAACCCTTAGTATTTTCCTGACTTGGTAAGTTGTTCTGTTTTCCCTCTGATAATAGACAAAAGGAAAGAAAGTGAAAAAATGTCAACTGCTATATTTGTTTCTATTAAATATAAGTGGGGTGCAATTTTGGATTAGTGCTTTAAAATCATCTTACAGTTCTTCACAGAAGTAGTAAACAAAGATAAATTATATGGAAAATAAATTAAAAAAAAAAACAAACCAGAAACAGAAAAGAGATTGCTCATAGAGGAAAAGCATTACAAATATATAACTTCATATTTACTCTGGCTGTTAACAAAAACTAGTAAAACCAGCAACACTGGCTACAGCTCTGTTGTGGCTTCCAGAAGTAAAAAACCCTCCCTTTCTATGTGTTGTTATGTGCCGATATAAACAAAAGCATACACCCAAAACCAAACATAAAACCCAAAAAATCAACTCCCTGTCCCCATCTATAGTCTGCTGCGAACTACACAGAATTAACACTCAGGGACCTTTTAGTCACCTCAAAACTATTGCCAATTTTTCTATTTTGGGCTTAAGATACGTCAGGGCTTTTTCAGGAACATAAAACATAATTCCTGAAGTCACAAAGTACTGTCACAAGGCAGACAAAGTTCAGCACATAGATAAGATGACAGGTAGAACACCCTGAGCAAACAACAGCCTTCCTTTCTCTATAGGTTGCCACACCATGAAAAAAGACCTGCAGGAAGACACTCTGCTTGCTTTTCCTCACCTTGGTTTGTCCCAGTAGTTCTCAAGGGCAGATGCACAACCCTCATCCTCCAGTGCCAACCAGGACCCTACACATGTACACTAGGTAAGTATTATTACCTGAAGTGGAACCAGACTGGTAAAAACATTTATTTTCACGTAGCACAATATTTCTCACATCAGCTGGCAGGTTCCAGAGTAAGATGGGATACCAAAAGTCCATGGTCCAAGAACTGCACCTTATATACCAAACTCTGGCAAAAATCTAGCAAGTGGCTAATATTTTGCAAAAGATCCAGATCTTTAGGGACTAGCATCGCTATCAATACCAGCTTTCCCAGGCTAACGTTCTCCAACCACATTAACACCTGCTGCCTTCCAGAGATGTCCAATACCAACACTTAGTGTAGCATCTGACCTTTACTGGGGCATCTCACTGGTACATGGATCACTGTCAGCTGTGATGTGCAGGTTCAGGAAGGAGCTTAGCACCCCTGCACTAAACAGCCAATTCTTGATTAACATTATTTTATTTTTACATATAATAACTGGTGCTTTGTTGCCTAATAGAATCTTGGAGTCTATCTATCATGTTTATTAGAAAGGCATTATAAGCCCGCATCCAGTCATATTGCAACAAAAGGAGCATACCTACAAGTCAGGAAGTGTGTGAATGCTCTTACAATTAAATTGAAACCTTAGGCAGAGAAGGTAAAAAAAAATAATAAAAAAAAATGGAGTGAGCAAAATACCAAAGATTCATTAGGAGAACATCAGGAGATAATTTTACCCTTATTTTTTTCGCTCAGTTGTTTATTTTTTGCTTTCAGTTAAAATTTTATTAATTATTTCGTTGCAACTGAAGTGAATGTTTTTATGGAATAAAGTGCCTAACTATTTTCAAATATTTCCCCAAGACAACTTTTGCAATGCCTAGGAAACAAAATCAGGCAACTAGGCCTTTGCTGTACTCATTAGAACATCTGGAGACAAACTACATTATTTCCAAACTTTATTATGACAGCAAAGTTATAGTTTCAATTTTCTTTCTACATATTGTATCTACACATAGCTAATCTTATTAACTGCAGTTTTACCATTACCACTGCACTCAATCCTCTACATTGGTTTCCCACCTACTGCTGCTGATAGTTGCTCAAGTCACTATTTACATTAGCTTCACATTCTTAAGGCATTTGCTAGTCTTTTTGTTATGTTGCTGATCGTTATAGGGCTCCCCTCTTAACTGGTCCAAGGCACATCACTATTAAAGAGGTCTCTACACTATCCAAACCCAATTTTAAATCAATAAGAAGTATTTTTAATTCTTAACTAGCAGCTTCTTAAAGAGTGTCAAATTTGAAAGAATGAATTCCTATATTCATTGTTAGATAAAGTTTATAAACTCTGACTGATGTACCAGTGCCAGACAAAGTACCATGCACTCCACAGTTCAGTTATCAACCCTAGCAACCGCTGTCAGTTTGGTACGGTATCTCACTATAATCTGTACTATGAGGAGCAAGGTTCCAGTTTAGCAAAAGCTGTACATCAGATTTTTCCCTGATCAAGAAAACCCTTAGACACCTCCTTGGTTTCTAAACAAATAGCATTGTAACTGCATTTCAACAGCCGTTATGCATATCTTACGATTCCCCGGTGAATCAGAGACGCGGATCAGAACATCCAACTAGCCACCATACTAATCATAGAATAACAAGTGTCACCACTCTGTAAAGAAGGAAATTATTTCATTTTGAAGTCATGCAGTTAAATGTCAGTAAAAAAACTAGAAGCTGCTTCTCATGAATTACTAAGTTGTTTATAAGACTACTATTAAACACATGAGTCACCAACAAGCAGAAACTATAGCAAGTTTCATAGCTACTTTAAAAAAAAACTTTTTAAAAAACAAACAAAAAAAAAATTCCTTTAAAAGAATGGGTATATTTAACTTGACAGAAGGACAGCTTTTATTTTGAGAATGTTTGGGACAAGCGACACCGGGCATATGGTTTTATCAGACCCTTATACATGAAGAGGCACAAGGAAGACTTGTCCATTACCACTTGCAAAGAAATTTTACAAGAAACAGCTTCAGGTTTTGTGGGATCACATAATGCATGCACTAGAGTGGTAGCTGTTGGGTTAACACATCTATTTCAACAAGGTGGCACACTTGTGTATTGTGGAACATTTAATTTACACAGAACAGGAATACATGCGTCACGTTGGTACATAGGTAAATTAAACCACATAAATCCATATACATGTAGGTATTTCAGCAAGGACAAAACTGGTTAATGAGGTTCAATGTAATTTGGATTCCTTCCTGCACAGTTCTTCATGATCCTTACATTTAATATAGCTCCTATTAAGTCCACAGTCAAGGGCAAGGGCAAAACATGGATTTTTTTCTATGGGAACCTGAATGTTGTTTGGGTTTTTTGGTATCCACTGTGACCAAAAATATCCTAAATAACTGAACACATTTGAAGTGGGCAAGGACCTGTAATGTTTATTCTGGAGTACTGGATGAATCAATATAAATACCAGAAAATGTACCTCTCATTTTTGAGGACTCTCGAATGACCTCGCAAACACAGAAGTTGGAAAGAACAAGTTTCACTCTTACTAAGGAGAAGAAATAAGGTGGATGGCAAGTGCACAGGAACTATCAATTCATTCCACTTGTGCTCTGATGACACATGAATAAGCAGTTTAATCTTGAGAATTGTCAGAGGTGGAGCATGGGGGCATGATGGTAGGTAAACAGTAGGCAAAAAGAAACTATCCAAAATTAACTGACAAATTCACTTTAAATTCACTTATTCACTTTTTCTTGTAGCATACAAACAGAAATAGAAAGGAGATAGTAAATACAGAATTACATGAAGGTATATGCTCTAAACTGATAAATTCCTTCACAGTTTCAACTGAACAGTATTTCTAGAAATTCAAAACTATACGAATGTAGTTTTCAGAGGTCACTAAAGCAAAAAAAAAAAACAAACAAGGCAGGAGTTTCTTACTGTATTGTATTTAGTTCTTATTTTTGTATGCTATTGCTTCAACAAGTATAGATTCAACTGTTCTGCTTGAAATACTTAAAAGTTCAGTATTTTTCTAAGTCAAGCTGGTGGGAGAAGGTTTCCCTTATCAAAAGCAGTCACTAAGACAACCTCCTCTTCACCTTCTTCAAATCTTTGCTTAAAATGCTCTAAGAGGAACTTGGCACCTAGATGAAAATATTCAAAAGTTGCAATCTACTCCACCCCTTCCATCACTCAAGCAGCAGTCAAACTTCAGAGAGCATGTGAAAATACCAGATATTACAATCTGAATTTCATTTACTCACCAGTGTTCCAAATCCTTAGGTCTTGGTCAACTAATTCAGATGCTTGGCAATACCTAGAGAAATAATTGACATAAATGTAAGAAATGTATAGAGTTAAAAAAATTAAAGCGATATTTATGATCAATATTGGTGGGAGGAATGGTACAACTCTGTGGTGCGCATGAGTAATATTTCACTACTGGGGCACTTCTGCTTTGCTAGAAAAGCAGCACTCTAGGCATCACTCCAACCACTAAGGAGCAAACAAAAATAAGAACATATCCTGGACTTCAGGAGATTAGAATTTGGCCTCTTCAGGGATCTGCTAGGTAGAGTATCATGGCATAAAGCTCTGGAGAGAAAAGGAGTCCAAGAAAGAGGGATAATATTTAAGGATCACCTTCTCCAAGCTCAGGAGCGATGCATCCTGACAAAAAAGGAAGTCAGGCAGAAACTCCACTCTGCTCTCCTGAGACCCCACCTGGAGTACTACATCCAGTTCCAGGGCCCAAACCATAAGAAGGATGTAGACCTGTTGGAGCAAATCCAGAGAAAGGATATGAAGATGATAAAAGGGCTGAAGCTCTCCTGTAAAGACAGGCTGAGAGAGTTGGGGTTGTTCAGCCTGGAGAAAGCTTTGGGAAGGCCTTAGAGCAGCCTTCCAGTTCCTACAAGGGTCCTACTAGGAAGATGTAGAGCAACTTTTTATGGGACAAGGGGGAGCAGCTTTAAACTGAAAGAGGGGAAACTTACATCAGATGTTAGGAAAAACCTCTTCACAAGGGTGGTGAGGCACTAGCACAGGTTGCCCAGAGAAGCTGTAGGTGCCCCATCCCTGGCAGTGTTAAAGGTCAGGCTGGATGATGCTTTGAGCATCCTAGTCTAGTGGAAGATGTAACTGCCCACAGCAGGAGGGCTGAAATTAGATGAGCTGTAAAATCCTGTCCAAACCAAACCATGCTATTATTCTGTGATTCTATGAAGGAGTAACAACTAAACCCCTAAGCATGCACAAAATTGCATCTTTTTCTATATTTTACTAATAAAGGATACCAAGATACCAAGAAAATACAGTTAAAATTATTTGTATATTCTATTCTCATATATAACAACATTTTAAAATCAGATATAACTTAGGAGAAACACCAAGAGTTCATAAACTGCTGGAATAAAAACCTAAACTACATAGAATGTTCACCCCACAAAGTTATGTGAGGTGAATGTTGCACCTCCAAACCCCTTCCACTGCCCCCCCCCCCCCCTGGATTTTATGGAATTCAGCAAGGGCAAGCATGAAGTCCTGTACCTGAGATGGGCTAGTCCCTTGGACAGGCTGGGCACTGACTATGCAAGGCACAGCTCTCTGAACTGGAGCTGGGGGTCTGGACAGTGGGCTAAACAGGCAGCAGTTAGACCTGGCAGCTAGGAAGGCCAAGAATATCCTGGTGTGTATCCTCAGGTTAAGCTCTGCTAATAAATGATTATTTACCTTTAGCCAACATTACAGGAATACACATCTGGAACAGCATATTCAGTTTTGGATCCCCACTACCAAAAGTAATCAAGTAAAGCAATAAAGGTAATGTTGATACAGTGAGGTTGAACTACAGAATTCCACACAGTAATAATAAACTGGGCATTTTTATGCATACATCAGGACAGGATATATGAAGAAACTTCCCCCACATAGAAGAACAAGGACAGTAGACTCAAACAAAGAGCCACAATTTGGCCTTGGTGAGATGGTTTAACAACAGAAAAATCATAACAGAGCATGCTGCAGAGGACAGAGGAAAATGTACTCGGAGCACTGGAAAATTCAAGCACAGCTTAAAATGGCCTCTGAGTTCCTGGCATACGGAGTATTCCTTCAGAAAAAAAAAAAAAAAGAAAGAAAAAAAAACAACAAACCAAAAACCCCCAAAACAAATAACAAACGACTGGGCTAAGTAGCTGTAATTATTCCAATGTTCCTCTTCTGTCTCAGAAGCAGTTAACACAGCAGTGGCAGTGAAAATACAGCAGTATTCTCAGGGATAGAGACTACCTTCCCTGAACAAGAAAGGCTAAACTTTTTTTTTAGACTCAAGCACCCAAAAAAGTATGATCAATTCTAAGTATGTGAAAACGACGGATTGCTCTGACAATTAGAATTAATTGGTGCTTTTAAGAAAAAATTCCTTGCCTGGAGTCTAGGCTCCCTAAGGAAGAAAAGAGGCTTGGGAAGAGTAAGACAGGATCAGCCCACATAGAGAAGGCTGTAGAAGAGTCTTCTCTCTTAGATCCATTCACCTGCCAAAGGCACAGCAATGATCATCCTCACCCATACAAGAAATAACACACACCCAGAAAGGGTAGCACGTATTACAGTAAAAAGAAAGGCTCTTTTCTTTTACCACATTTGTGACAAAGCTATCAAGAAGAAACTCCACATGCTTTCCACTGCCCCATCACCACACAGGCAGCGTGCACTTTCCTTATGCTGCAGTTGGCCAAAATGAAACCCAAATCCTCCCAAACAAGTAAGATGAGAAAAACATATGTATGCTCTCACTTTCTCTCTCAGCTTTTTCTTACAAATTTTGCAGTAACTCAGATGGATTTCTAGAACAGTTGGCGAAAATACATCAAAATACATTTCTTCATTTCTACTTAACTAGCTGCAAATTTGGCTGCCTCCCATGCCCCCCAAAGAAGAAAACATTACATTCTTCATTTTTAGCTCCTTTCTCACTTGCAAAGGAGAAGTGTTTTAGTACAATTCAGTGAGAAAATGTCTCTATACCAAGCCGTTCATTTGAAGGTTTTTTATTTACAGTCAACAAGAGAAGCAAATAGCTGGACACTGTTAGAAAACAGTTGTTTTGATAACAGCCCTGTTCACATACCCTGGCGTTACACACCACAGGAATTGGGTATACTTGGGCTCCCCAGCAAAAATAATATTAAAAAAAAGAATACAGATATATCTGCTGTATCTTAAAATATCCTTTTCAAATCGCTTTTTCTTCAGATATATTACTGTGTGATACTTCCATGTATTATATAGCCACAACTATCCAAATCAAAGAACTACTCACTTCAGGAAGGTTTATATGACCAATTATGTTACTATGAATAGAAATAATGCATTCAATGGGTTCTCTGTATTTTACTATCAGTGCAGAACAATATAAAACAAAGCAGTATAAAATAAAATTAAAAAAAAACCCAACTATTTCACAGGCATTGTTAGTGCTACCTTCAGAAATAACAGCAAAACAAGGAGAAAGCATTTTCTTCAGGGATACAGTACTAGCAGGATAAATAAAAATCCCCAAACTAAAGGAATTACAATGCTAAACACCATAGGAAACTAACAGCTTCAGATGTACAATAGATTTTTTAACATTTCTCAGTCTGATTATACTGTTTCATACAAACCTAACAAAAAAAAAATTAAAAATCCAGTTTTCCTTTCTGCATTATCTACCTAATTTGTTCAATCCAGATGATCATGCTACATATCTGTATGTATGTAATTTAAAGCAAATTCAAAAGTGCATACCATAGAGACCGACATAATTTGCAAGGTATTTCAATAAGAACAAAAAAATTCTCACTTTTTTAAACTACAAGAAATACTTCATCCAAATGCACCTGCCCTGAAGTTTACACCTAATAAAAGCCAGATGTACTTCTAATACACTGCTGATCCCTGCTTTTAATGCCTGTTTTCCCACTGCACCACCTTAACCAAGAAAGTGGTACAGCATAGTTTTACACATCATTAAAATGTTTAAACCAAATATTACATTTTTATAATCCTAGTAATTCCCACAAAACTAAACAGAATAAATACAGAAGTATTTAAGAGACCTGCACTGTGAATAAAAGATCCCTCTTAGCCTGTTACCTAATACAATAAGCACCTGAGTGATAAGTGAATCAAATTACTGCATTTCTTAACAAGTCAGGCATTACACTGAAGCAAAATCTATGCAGATTTATTTTTAGTAAAGTTACTCACTAAAATTAGTTTTGCCTTCTACAGTTAGTTTTACCTAAGCATAAAACTTTATTTGAAGTTAGTAATACAGAATATCAGCCAGGAGCCCAATCCAATGTCCACTGAAATCAGTGGGAAATCTTATCTTTATTTTACCCATGAGGATAAAAGGACATGAACTGTTTACTTTAAAAGTGTAAAAGCACTTAGCAAGTTCACTTTACAACACGCTTCTTGAGTCAAATCTCTGTGTCACAGGGACAATAAGGCAAAAAGGCAAGTCACCCTCCCGCAGCAGCACCCTGAGTCACACCACAGCCAGCACTTCAGTCTTGCTCCCTGTAACCCATCACTTCTGCCAGCCCAAGCAGCTGCCAAACCCAGCAGCTTTGCAGCATATGCAACAACATCCACAGTCACTATAAAAGTTCCGTGTCTCAATTTTATCCATAAAGATGCTCTAGGTGGCTGCAGCCTGGCCACCACCGAGAGGGACCAGAAGAAAAGTGGCTCAGAAAGCAGCTTCAGCGTGGGCGCAGCACTGCTCAGCTACCTGCTGCCCGGACATGGGTGGTGAGAGAAACAGGCCCCATGACAGCCCAGCAGTCATTGGGCAAAGGCAGGCTGCAGGTCAACTCCACAGAAGCAGGGACAGTGCACACTTCAACACAGACTGATGGCCCCAGGCTGGGCTGAAGCAGGCTCCTGGGCCATCGGACGAGAGTGTGGGCAGGCCTCAGGGGAGGCTGAGGCCCCTTCCTGCCCCAGGGGCCCTGCGATTGGCTTGCTAATTAAATGCTCTAACCGGTAGCATCCTCCTCAGAAATGCTCTAGAATCACTCACTCCACCAGCTCCTGCAATTCTTCCTAAATGTCAGCTGGCTTAATAAATAACAACTTCAGATGAGTATTACTAGCAGTAATGCTACATTACTCTGGGGGTGATCTGCCCCCAAATTACCACACACTGTGGCCTGCAAAATGCTAAGTTTACAAATAAAGCTGTCTGCTGGCAAAAGTAGAACAGAAAGACTCCGAGGGAGAGCTCATTATCTTCTCCCAAAGGCCTTGAGATGGCAAATGTGG